CGTAACTAGTCGAACGGTTCTCTAATATAGCTAAAGATAGTAATGTTATGGACTTATTCCTTCACATGTTGGAAGAGGCTACATAGAGTATGTTGGCATTTTTACGACGACAGAACCGCCAGGATCCATCTAGATCACTGGTTCACAAAGTTCTAGAGGGAAATTATCTAAGCACTCTCTCTAGGATCTTCTAGGCCTACACACACACACACACACACACACACCACCACCAGACTAGTACCCGAGCTGAGAGGTATGAGCTACGAGGAGAGACTACGGGAATTGAACCTCACTTCGCTGGAAGACAGAAGAGTTAGGGGGGACATGATCACCACATTCAAGATTCTAAAGGGAATCGACAGGGTTGATAAAGATAGGCTATTTAACACAATGGGCACACGCACTTGGGGACACAGATGGAAACTGAGCGCCCAAATGAGCCACAGAGATAGTAGAAAGAACTTTTTTAGTGTCAGAGTAATTGACAAATGGAATGCATTAGACAGTGATGTGGTGGAGGCTGACTCCATACACAGTTTCAAGTGTAGATATGATAGAGCCCAATAGGCTCAGGAATCTGTACACCAGTTGATTGACAGTTGAGGCGGGACCAAAGAGCCAGAGCTCAACCCCCGCAAACACAAATATCTGAGTGCACACACACACACACACACACACACACACACACACACACACACACACACACACACACACACACACACACACACACACGTCAACACCAGACCAGTTTTAAACCCATGCAGTTCCACAGACCATAACAGAACTCCTTTTATCGCGGAAATAAACAATAATTCATTGTTCTTACCTTATATCGCGCATCTAGAAACACTTAGCAGTAAGACATTCAACTGTCTCGGGCAAAAAACTGCGATAAACTAGCAAAAAACACTATTTTTGTTTCTCTGAAAACAGACGTCGACAGCGGCACTCCGCGTCAGCTGATGCAAGACCCGTTTTCTTCTATTAACGTCAGTCAAAGAAAACTATTTTTTAAGCCAATACTGCCTTAATAATGTCAGCTATTTCAATTTTCAGTTTTAATTCATATATATATATATATATATATATATATATATATATATATATATATATATATATATATATATATATATATATATATATATATGTGTGTATATCACGAAAATAAACACGTGATTAAGAATGTGACAATGTCAGACCACGAAGGAAAAATGAAACAGGAAATTTCCTTAAGTACTTTCGTATATTAAATACATCTTCAGAAGGACCTTCTGAAGATGTATTTAATATACGAAAGTACTTAAGGAAATTTCCTGTTTCATTTTTCCTTCGTGGTCTGACATTGTCATATATATATATATATATATATATATATATATATATATATATATATATATATATATATATATATATATATATATATGCATCTCTATACACTCCTCCGCTCACAAGCTATCTTACTCGAGTGAGTATAACCTGCGCTCACAACACAGTATATACACAACTCAGCATATATCACTATAACACATATCCCATGACTTCCCTCGTGCTATGATAACCAGGTCAGCATACTATGAAAAAGCAAGCCCTTGAAGGATATCAAATAAGCCAGCTATCCTTTGAACAAACCTCTCTATCCATCTATATTGTACCTTAGCTCTTACACTAATGGAAAGGCAGTACAGATTATAAAAATTAAATTTAGATTATATAGATAATAGACCTAATATAGTTTAGATTATAAAACTAGGATTATATGAATTATAGTTAATATAACATAGAAATGCTATGCATGTTCTATACATTTAAAACTATAGACACCCTCTTTTAATGTTTAAAGAGTACTGATTGACTGTTTTTTTTTATTTAAACATTATCTTTGTCTGGGTTGGTTGAGAGAGATTATTTTCTGGGGTAGATGCGAAGGAACATTGTTTAATTTGCTTTAGGTTAGAACGAATCTGGGTAATTAGGTTTGCGAAGGAAAGACTCGAACGCCAACCAGCAAGAAACGAGGCTTGTACCGACCAATGGAGGGGAAGACAAGGGGGGAGGGGT